TGCATGTCAATGTCCCGGTTTTTTGGATACCGAATCGCTACTATTGCCTTCACAGATAGTGTTTAGGAAACAACTTGAAAAATCAGTAAAGGCAGTAAAAGAAAAAAAAAATAGAAACCCTTTGGTATACATGAAGTCATGTCTGGTATTTCTAAACTTCAGTACATTCCTCACCACATATATGTGTATTGTGTATTGCCGTCAATTCAACGTACAGCCATGTTCGTTGCCAAAGCAAATAAAAAAACTAATAGGATGGATGTTGTATTTCCCCAGGACCACGTGTGCCAGTTCGGTGTCCACGAGTTTGCAATGTATATTTCGGGGACTATTCCAGGTCTGATTTTGGTTTTGAACATCGATGAGAGAATGTCCGTATCATGTATAACTCATTAAGTTTTACAAAGCATTATACCGTTTTTGTCATTTAGTTTACAAACAATTTAAATTGAATAAGGCAACTTCTCCGGGGCTGATTAACATTACAACTTTGCCACCAATATATGAATCAGGGTGGTGTTATTACTCATTTAGAACATAAACTATACTTATTCTCATATATCAAATCATTAAAGGGGAGCAGAGGTTAGGTTTTGACGCTCTGTACATGGAATTTGAGATCTAAAAATGAATTCTGTCTACAAAAACATATTGTATGTGCTGCAAAATGCTAAGTTTATCGAAATTCCAAAGGAAAAATCATGTTGTTGGTTGCGAGAAATCGGCAGAAGAACTAACCTGAAAGTGCAGCGTACGTACGGCGTTCTAGCTATAGTAAACAGTTAATGAATAAATATTGTACGGGTTGAAACTAAAGTAGAAATACGTTAACATCACTTGAACTACAGCACTCATTTCGCACAGCTTCCCACTTTTTAATCGACCGCGTATCGCTTATCCGACGGCACGATATTTTCCGACCGGAAAACGACCGCCTTTCTATTGTTTTCGTCCTTTCGCTGGCTCATTGAAAACACAGACCGGTCCCCTAGCACTGATCACTGGTACAGGAGTGGTCGAAATGGTGATATTAGTGATACAGTTTGAGGATACAACGGGTACTAACTATTATTAAATTCTAAACAATTCTTTAAATCTATACCACTTTGTATCGTTCGCGAACGCAGCTTCATCTGAGTCCAATATCGAATAAATGAGTTTGCGTAATTATTATGAAAGCGATATATTACAATGTTGACATTTTTAGAGCCGGTACAATATTGTAAACAAATTTGTGTAATTAGAAAAACAGCACACTAAGTAAACGATTTTGAAATATACAAGTGTGCGTAATTACAGCACCGCCAGAAATAAAAACAATTTTACAAGATCGACGCTCGGAGCATCAAAGAAAATGATTGCTAAGGTAACGCGCCAGTTCAGTGCGTGACTTGGGGTTAAACTTTGGTAAATATACACTAGATGTCAGCATCGCCGCGCAATAAGTTTTGCAATGCAGTACTTGAAGTTCAATAGCGCCCAAAATGACGCCGTTGATCACTCAGTCTTCTGCCAACTATTATAGACTAGTTTTTAAGCTTTTCGTTAATTTTCAAGTCCTTTATGTTATTTCATGGTCTTTACAATAAGTGTGAATTGCTGTGCTAGGCTATTATACACAATCACGGTCAGCCGACGTCATGAAATCTAAGCATAGAACGTAGGCGACCTGCGGCCGTTTGATTTCCTACTCTCCCTTGAAGCGATTGGTAAGAATGGTTGTTAATATATTACCCGATGCTCTACGATTTTTTTCATTTCAAGGTAAAAAATAACAAATATATATAATGAATACTATTTGTTTAATTATTTGGGTTTTCAGCCGTCAAATTACTGACTATGATCGCATGAATTACGGTCAATGTTTGTTCTGTCTCGGCTTGAATGACAGACGTCGACACTGACGCATCCTAAACTCAGTATGGAGAGATCGACATTTTAAAGAAATTATTAACGGACCACGGTCAATAGGCATTTCAAACAATCGAAATTATTATCAGAAGACTACAAACATTAATTATACAAACACGTCGTGAAGATTCAACAATCAGAAAAGGAAACCTAGAAATTACACCGATGTAATCTGACAATCATACCGTAATTGTGTTTTAATATATTTTGTGCGCAGTAAGTATCGTCAGAATATTATTTAAAAAAATATTATTCCATCCCAATCAAATCTAGGTCAAAGGGTCAGATTGCGTGCACATAATTATAGATAATTAAATCATAGATCATAAATCTCAAATTCCATGCACTGAGTGACAAAAACCAGACCACTGTTTCCCTTTAATATGTTTCAATTGTGGTTTAAAATATTAGCACAGTGAGGCATGCGCACACATAAATCTTCATGTATATCTCAATTAAATGAATATACAGTAATGATTTAAACAATGGCTTTTATTGTTAATATATTGTCATTCAACTCATCATAGAATATGGTACTACTTGTGATATTCTTTGCACACCCATCACCCAATTCAATGATCACATCAATATTACATGAACAAAAGTGATATATAGCGTCATAACTTAATTGATTCATGGTTTAATTTTGATTATAGATGAATAAATTAGGTCATTTGCAATCAGTCCTAAATATTTTATTAACACTATTTTAAAATGGCGACGCTGTTGAAACACGTGACCAACTATGTTAATGATGACGTCAGAGTATTTAATGATAACAATTCACTTATGTTACAGGAGATCCATGGCGTGACTTCACGATTCGGTAAGTTTATTTTTGCAAATGCTTTCTCCCTGAAAAGCCTGTACACGAGACATGTCATTTATATTAGGTATAAGTCCATTCATTTATAATATCCACAAAAATCTACTGCTAACATGTACCATAATATTTCACGTTCGAATTAGAACCGAAAATGTCCGGAGGCCCTGTATTCGACACACTTG